GTACAGAGGAAAGGCCTACAACTCCTAGCAGGCCCCGGCTGACCTGGCATATTGGCTGGCACCATGTTGGTAGTTGTAAGCCTTTTCTCTGATGAAACATGCACAGGATAGCAACCCGCTGAGTTCTTTCAGCTATTTCCAAGTAAGCCTGCTTAGGACTGCAAGATTCACAGCCTAATCCTGCACATGTATTCTTGGAAATAAACATTACTTGTGTTCACTGGAGCTTAAACTCAACTAAATGTCTGTGTATTGCTGGTATACAGCCCAATCCTATGCATACTTGCCTCAATGTCCCATTGAGTTTAGTGGAGTTTCTTCCCAAGTAAGTGTGCATAGGATCAGATACCTGGCTACAAAGGAGTAAACTTCATGAACACTATTGGCTACAACAAAAAAACATATTTATTTTAAAATGTCTCAATGAAATTTGTGGGGCTTCTGAGTAAACGTAGTTAGGCCCAGGCTACTATCAATTCACATTGGACTTCTATATTGCTTTCACAAATGACAGTATAACGTAGTAAGTTCACACTGCATTTTAAAAAATCATTTATTACAAATTGCATGGACCACATGGGTCTTCATGCTTCACCCTGGCTGACTCTTCAGCAATGACCTCATTCACATAATAGTCCATTATTGCTTAATTTAGCTGTGGGAGGAGCTGTGTCATGCCAAGTGTCAACCCCTGTATATGGTAACCACAGGCACCTCTGCTTGCCATGGTCTGCTGTGTTGTACAAACCTATTTTGGATTGTTTGAGGGTGCAAACAATCCTCAAATAACCTGACAGCAAGCCATGGATTATTTGAGGCTGTTCAACTCCCTCAAACAAGCCATAACACCAACTTCACATGACATGGCAAGCTATGATAGCACTGCCGTAACTGCTAAGGGCCACCAAGCCATGGTGGTTTAGCATTACATGCAAACATTCTCAGATCTGCAGTTAATTTTTGGTTATTGTTCTCTGAACCTATGAATAGGCTTCATGGCCAGAGACTATCTTCTTCAAGCATATCACAGTGTCACTGTTCAGTCATGTGGAATATGTTTTTAAACAAAGATACGTGTTGATTCATGAAATACTGAGTGCTTTGTGCAAAGAGATCACTGGCCTACATGTCAGGATGACTTTCTCCAATAAAATATCTTTAGGTTTTTTTCTGGACAAAGCCAATCTTCCCCTGTGTCCCCCTCCACCCTAATTCAGGACTTAAGCCCAAGTCTTACCACATTTCATTTCTTCTGCACTCCTTTAAACATACTTATGGTTCAGATATAAATTCCAAACATCATTACCCTCTGTGATGATAGTCCACATTCTTGAAATGGATGGGACCGGGATAGTGATCCCTGCAGCCCATTCATCCCTGGGAGACTAGGGAGCTGGTGACAAAAACCAAGGGAAGGGTTTTAGAGATCTTTGTAATAGTTGATGATAGTTGTGTGCCCTGTGGTACTGTTCCTTTAAGGCTCCCAGGAGTGACTGTTAGTTATTTGCACACAGGGAATGTCAGCGGAGCATTTTTTTGGGGGGGGGGGGGGGGTGTCACCTGGAAGGCCACATTATGAGTCATTTTTCCTTTTCCTTACAGGATTCAGGATGATTTGGAAAGCCTAAAACAGTAATAATGTAGCAGCCAGGTCAAGCTCCATATCTACGCTCTCTTCTCCCGCAGTATGAAATATATTAAAATGTCTGTGTGGACTGCTTCTCCCTGGGCAAAAGTGGTTTATACTGGGTAAAAAGAACCCCAAAACAGTAAGCTGACCCACAAATAAATTCATGCAAAACAATCAAAGATAACAAGGTTTGCTGCCTTCTAGCTGATTTAGTTCAGCTCATAGTATTTAACCAAGACAAACGCCAACCAGAATGGGAACAACCTCCATTCCCTCCTCAAGAACCACCCCCCCCCCCGCATTAGCAGCCGAGATTCTCACTTCCCTTACAGAGAGAATGCAAAACAAGACCTACTTTGAAAGGCACAGGGCTGATAACTAGGTGGCATTTAAGACATGCATATGTCACATAAAGATTTTAAATATTAAACCATCATAGTGCATATTTTCAGATGTTTACATATATGTGCAAATATCTGAAATATGCACCTACTTCTTGCCAAGAAACACTGTTTAACAGGCAGACTCAGAAGGGGATGAAAGTGTCACGAGCATTCCATAGTGCACCATCAGATGAAAAGAGCAGACCAATTGAGTTGCACCAGCTTATCCACCATCTGGCCCCAAATCAGGAACCACCCTGAGGATGGAGCTAACTCCTTTTTGTTAGAAGGGAGCAAAATTATTCACTTTTGAGCCAGCTTCTTAATATAACCCATATTTCCCTAATATCTGCTAATGTAACTTCACTGGTGTCTTTTGTAAATAATTTCTGCAAAATTCCTCTTTTGTATCACAAAGCCAGCATAATTGGACAGTTTAACATCATAAAGACATAGTTAGAAGTCTCTTATCTTGATCAGCTTGGAAGGGAATGCAGCCAAGAACATTCTCTACAGCTTCAATCTGTAAAGGGTGTGTGATGTTTTAAAGTGTTCTGAGACTGTGTTCCTTTAAATGGTGGTAAATTTCAGAAGGGGAAGAGGGGATAAAAGAGGGGAATGAATGAGTGAGGTGATTGGCTGGTGACTGAGAGTGTGTGGGCTGAGCTTGGAAGTGTGCAAGGAGAGAAAAATAGGAACTTTTCAGTCAGAGAGAGTGATGGTCTGTCAGCAGATACAGTCAAGTGTGATCTGTCAAAACGTCAGAGAGTGGTGTCTGTCAGAAGTCTACAGAGTCTGAAGAGGCAGCCTTCTCATTAGAATCCTGCAGAATGCTTTGAAAAGCTTTTAGGATTCTGAAGAAGGAAGTGGACTACGTAGAGGGCACATTGGTGACCAGGGAGAGTCAGAACCTCATGCTGCCAAGTATTATAAGGGTGTGAGAGACAGAAGTTGACAGAAACCTGAGTGCAGGAGTGAAAGGAGGATCTTAGGTGAGGATTATGAGGGGAAAAGAGTGATATACTTCAGTCAGAAGTTATTATTTTGCATTGTTTTGTTTAGCAAGGAAATAAGTTACTGAACATCTTGAAACAAATATGCTAATATTGCATTTTTCTAGGGTTTTTTTTTTAACCCAGTTCTCCCCCACCAGACCCCCCTCCCCCAGCTTAAAGATTTCCAGAAATTTTACATCACTAGTCCCAGACAAATCTGGGGGCAGGATTTGCTAATTCATCTTAAGTTATTTAGGATTTTCTTTTGCAGCTGCTAGTCACTTCTATATTTAGGTATGGTGAGTTCTTTGCCCATGCTATTTAGACTCTTTGGAATGTATTTTCCTAGTTTCCTTGGGCTTGCTTCTTTGATGGGTGGGTGGCATACTGAAGGATAAATGCTAATTCTATTAGAAATGGTATTGTGCCACTTCCCTTCCCTTGCTAATGTCTTCTGAAATTTCACAATATTTTGCTTCAGGGTTTTTGGGTTATTTCTCTGCTCTGTAATGAACTGGGGCTGTGTTCTCCAGCCTCCGCCTGCCTGCCTGCTATCCATCTTGGCTGATATGTGGCTCTGGCCCTATTATTGCCCAAGTGTGAGTGAATCTTCAGACTGAAAATGTGGTGTGGGGATTTAATAGGGCCCTCCAAGGACTCAGCCCACTGTATGATCAGAATACTCCTGTGAGATAAGTTTAGGAAACTTTCTGATGAGGCTTTTATTGAGTAATTACCCTGTCACATTCACAGAATATAGATCCAGAAGAGACAGTGAATTGACCAGGACTAGCCAGTGAGCTATCTAGCCAACCAGTTGGAGCTTCTCTCTTATCAATTTCAACTTCCTGTCCATTCACTTCTAAAAGGAGTTGAGTCCATTCTGCCACAAAATGGTTGCCCAAGTGAGCGGAGTTGAACCAGCCTCTGCCTTTACTTCTCTATATATCACTGCTGCAGGCACTTTTCTCCTAGCCTGGTTGCAGCATCAAAAGGTGAGCTAAGAAAAGTGCTTGTAGTGGTAGAGTCATAGGCAAAGGAAGGGGAGGGTTTAGCTCTCTCATTTGCAAATTGTTTTTGATGTAAAGAAATAACAGACTCCTAACTTACCATTTTAGATATGAATGAAGCAGATACACTGATAAACATGATTGTCGCTGTTGCATGTAGCTCAAGGGTACTGCTCTCTATGAGCAAGGTTCCAAGTTCAGTTCTTAACATCTCCAGGTAGGAAATGGTTGTGTCTGAAACACTGGGAAGCCCTAATGGGGTGATAGTGTAGATCGAGAACTCGACAGAGCTCTGGATGATTTGCAGACTTGCAACATTCTGCTCCCCAGTTGTTCAACAACAGGAACAATAGAAAACTTTTGTTCCCCTTTAAATTAGGCTACTGAAATGGAGATGGTTTTAAGCGAAAATCAGGAGTGGGTTTTTATTGAAGGATTGCAAGTTCAGTCATGATCAAGAAAGCAAACTAATCTGTGCTACATGTTCTGGGGCAAATGGTTCCTTAATTCTATCGGGTGCCTATCCACCCTGAACCACTGTTTTGTACCTGAGTTCAGCTAGAAGATCTTGAGGTTGTATTTAAAGAGAACAAAGTAGATGACAGAAACCTGAGGTACACAGATATAGACAATAAATGAGCCAAGGCCTGTCTTGATTTAAGGCAACAGCCTCTCTTCCTAACCTTTCTTTACAGTGCATGGTTCCATTGTAAACATGTCTCTAGTTTAATGTGATAAAATGATGCCTGCAGGAAGTACCTCTTTGTTTAAGGAGTATGGAGAGGGAAGTGAGGCAAAAGCAAGCAGGAGAAACTATGTGAATGCTGGTTACAAGTGTCTGGGCTTCAGATTTGCACTAGCAAAGAGAAGAGTCAAAGAGGATACAACTTTAGCTTCAGCGGTCTTGGGGTATGTTAGAATGAATTCATATCCAAGAAGGAGATGAACCTCTACCAAGTAATTTCTGTTTTACAATTGTTAGATAATCTGTTCAAGCCAAAAGAACGGTACATTTCAGAAAAGGAGATGCATATGCGATCGAAAAGGTAGGAACCAACTTCTAGTCTCCTTCCGTTTTGCTCCATTTCCCTTCTGTCTCCAGTACTGAGTAATTATAAGTCATCAGATGGGCAGGGCTAGCCCAAGACTGAATTTGATTACTGCTCTGGGCAAAATTAATGTCTTCCCTTCTAGCCCCATTTTATTGTAAGCTGGGAAGAATAATAGTAGCATATTAAATAACTGAGTTTGCTGGGGTGCATTTTCCCCATTTTTAATGTGTTTCACTTCTACACTGCATCTCTTTACCTGGCTAGCAGATCAAAATCAGAGCACTGATTTTCTTAGAATGTCAGGGACATCACCCTGACAGCTGGCTGCTAAGATACTGCAAAAGTGGAAGCTGTGGCTCACTCTCCATGACATGTGCATGGCTGAAAGAGGTGCCTTGTAAGTCAAGAACCTACTTCTTGGCATCCTAGCATGTTGCTTGCCTCTTTGATGGGTTTGTGCTTCATATTGCTCTGAAGGGGAGCTTTCTGCCAAAGTTGGTTTTAACGTACTTTCAGCTATTTTAGCTTCCAGTCCCATGTAATTCATATTGCATTTTGGTGTGAATGGCATGTAGTGCTGTGGGGGCATCCTTCAAGGAAGTTGATCTTTAAAATTCATCAAATATATATATACTTATTCTTTACTAAAAGCAATATGGAGTGGGGATATTGCTGCTATCAAGGGCAGAAAGCTGAACTTTCACACAGCACTAAGTTCCTCAAGTGCTGCACTTCACTTTTTTTCTATGTGAGTAAATGGCAGCTACTCGTATTTTCTTATATGGGATAAAATGAAAATATGTACCTTAGGGACACCAATCTAAACTTTCCCCAAGAACTGTGTATACTTATTGCATTCAGTTTTTTCTGTTTCTCAGACCTTACTAGAAACCATTAAGAATCCAGCTTGCTTCTATTGACATGGCTGCATCTATACTTCCTGGTCATGTTAGGGTATGATGGATCCCAAAAAACTGGTGCCATTTATGTATAAAGATTCTGTTTTGGATCCTTGCAGAAACCTTATGAGATAAATTAGGCTGACAGACTACAACTTTCTCAAGGCCAATTAAGGAATGACATGATTTTCTTAATAGACCACTTCAGCACAGTGGGAAAATCCACACACATGTGCACATGCAAACATACTCAGAGGCATGAGTCTTTCCCCCCTAAAGCTCACAGATGTCTATGGGGCAGGGGAAGGATGCAGGGTGCATCAGGATAGCATCTGGAGGGGAGGGCAAGTGCAGGTTTGGCTGAGCCCTCAGCAGCTCCAGCACTAGCAAAGTCTCCCTTCTGGGTGACAAAGAAAAGGGAGCTAGCAATGGAATCTGTTCCTGTACCTGTCCTGCCTCCCCTTCCTTTTTCTTTGCAGGGCAAGCAAGCAGTAGCAAAAAAAACTGATCTTGCTGCTAGTGCCTACCATTTTAACTCTCCTGTGGATGCTCTAAGGCCCTGACAGAGCTCTGTTGTGGCCCCTGAAGAAATTGTGAAGAAATTAAGATGGAGTCAGCAGGAAGCCCAGCCCCCCCCCCTTTTTTGTTTCTACTGGTACATGTCTGCCTGAAGAAAAGAGGTGGAGAAAAGGCACAAGGACATCAGAATGTGTAAACAATATGAGTACCAATGATCTGGTATGAAATAAGACAACTCTAGAAATTTCCATAGGAAGATGCGTGTGCCCAAGAAACCTGCTTTTGGTAACCTCAAGAGGTCAACAGAAAAGATCATTGGAAAAGGCCACGTGGCTTTTCCATCCTGCAGCAATTCTGTGCTGGATGTCTGACGTGACCAAGAGAAGAAAACTGCACATTTTCATAGTACAGATAGATTTAAATGATCTCATGTTCTATTTAATAGACATTTTGATCTGCTGTTTTCCTTGTCATTTTAAACAGTGTTACCTGTACTTCCCTTTTAAGATGGGATGTTAGTAACATCAATAGGAACATAATTTCAAAAACCATTTAAGAATAACATTCTGGAATGATATGCTAAATATTAGCATTTTTCACATGTTCCAGGATTTATAATAATCTACCTGAAGTGAGGAAGAAACAGGAAGAGAAACAGAAACGGGTCATTTTACAGAGCAATAGGATGCGGGTTGAAGTGTTCAAAAAGGTAATGATTCTCCAATGAATGAATTGAATACAAAACTTGGTAACTTTTTAAAAAGAGAGGCTGTTTTTTTTCTGTGTTCTGCCAACTCGTATTCACACACTGTCATGCAACACCTGCACCAGTATGCAAGACAACCAAAAGCAGCATTTTAAAAGTTTTGTTTTGTATTGTCTCAGCCTTGGGCAAAGTGATGATCAGAATGTAGTTTCACTTTGCCTGAGGATGTATGGATGTGAATAAACTCTATACCCTTGGTTTTCATATAGTGGGTAATAATGTCCCCTGCAAAGAAATAAGATGTAAGAAACTATGACACAGTGGAAGAGGCAAACAGACTTCCCTGACTCTACTTTTCTAAAGAGCAAAATTGTGAAAGAGCAGTAGATTTTCTTTCCCTTTCCTGCCAAACCATGGATAAGGGAATGGGGCCAGGGAGCCGGCCTCTCACAATCCATTATCTGCAGCTTTTTCAGCATCCCTTCTCCACTCCTCATTTATCCACCTCTGAACATTCCCTGAACTCATCTTGTTTGTCCATCACATTAAGACTAGAGCAGAATGACCCAGTGGTGCCTAAACAGCGCTTAGAGAGTCATAGATTTTTCAGATTCCCAGATCCAAGTTTGGAAAAGAGCTCTGACAATGGAGCTGGGCATTCATGCACCTCCCTTCCACTTGCAGCCTGAGTGGAAGGAATCTGCTGGCTGGTTCTCTGATAAGAACGAAGTCAGAGAAGGGCTAGAGTGTGTTCACAGGGCATGGAGGAGGCTGGATCCACCATATCCCCATATTCAGGCAACTCTGCAACCTCCTTTCCTGGTTGTCTAAAGTGCATCTGCTAGATGGCTGAAATTGGAGGTGAAGATTTTCTCCACGTCTCTCCTTCCCTGCATAGGATACTCATAATCTTCTGAGTTGGAGGCTTATGGACAACACCATTAGATTGAACCTGAGGCCATCTTGGATTACCAGAACTTTTTTGCAGTTTGGATGGCATTTAGCTGTGGTTGAGAGACAACCATGCAATTGTGACTCTGCTTGGCTCACAAACTTAATCTGTTCCAGGACTCTGGTCATGACCCAAATTGGTCGTGACCCAAGTCAAATATCCCCATAAGATTCAGTGTAAATAAGGTCAATACATTCTGTAACCATTTTTTTTAATCACAAAAATTTGAAACAAAGTGACAAAGAACAAAGTAACAAAGAACAAAGTACTGTACAGTACAGAACACTAACCTAGGTGGGCGGGGAGGTTATTGTTTGGAGGGAGAGTCCAAACGATAATCATGTGATAGCATTCATGCTTGGGGGGGGGGGGGGGGATAGCCATGATCACAGTCATGCTCATGCAGGGAAGACAGGCACAATCACGGCCAGCTCCCCATCCCCCTGAGCATGATTGTACAGGGAAGACGGGCGCAATCGCTCTCATGCAGGGAAGACGGGCCCGATCACAGCCATCTCCACCCAAGCATGATCACAGCCATCCCTCCCACCAAGCACGACCGTGATTGCGCCTGTCTTCCCTGCACGAGCACAGCTGCGATCGTGCCCATCCCCCCCCCCCCCCGCAAGCACGATCGTGCAGGGAAGACGGGTGCGATCATGGTCGTCACCCAATGCAGAGTTCATGACCTGAGGCAAAATTTTGCCAAAATTTCTGTTCGTGACCTGATTTGGTCGTGAACTGAGGCATTCATGAGCCAAGGTACCATTGTATTCCTGACTTCAGGCATTGTTATTATAGGTGGGTTACCGCATTGTGCAAACAGGGCAGTTTGCAAACAAGCCACCCTGCTTTGCTAATCATCTGTTCTAGGGTTATGATCAATGTAGTGGCTTGTCCTGTTATCCTAATAAGGAGACAAAACCCACCACAGGTGAGACCCTGCAGCGAGTTAGCTGCTTGGTGAGAGCAACAAAATTCCTTGCCACACATGTTGACTGCCAGTGCCAGCTGCCCCTTCTTTCCACTGTGACGGCCAGCTTATTTCAAGAGGGAGGCATCCCAAGAGTGGTCTGACCCTTCCCTGAGACCCAGGAGGGTCAGGACAAAAAGAAAATGTTGCTCCTGGATATCCTTGTGGGTTGCTCCAGAGGTTTCCTCTGCAGCAGCCAGCAAGGGTGGCAGGGATCTGCTCCTCCTCGTCAAGATAGTGTGCACCCCCTCAGCAAAGAGGAGGGCACATGCTTGCCAGTAGCTGAAGAGAGACAGACGGCACCCAACAAATGACCCCTTGCACCATAGTTTTCAGTGTATGGTTCCTCTTCTATGAGAGGGGGAGGGATTTCCTGCCTTGCCTGTATGGTGCTACCCACTGCCCCTTTGTGGAAAGTGGCCCTGACCCACAGATTACCCCAGCCAAAGCTGGAAACCTCTGCACACACACTCTGCCTCATGAAGAGTGAGCTAGCCATTAAAAGCAAAAGCATGAGGGATCTTTTGTGGGGAAGGGGGGAAGCTGGGGGTTGCAAAAAGTAACCCCTTAAAGAGGGACAGCCCCAGTGAGCCAAAATTTGCTCTCAGAGACAGCTTTTGGAGAGAAGAACCTTATGTTTCCAGTCTCCCCCAGAACAATATCTGGAGGAAGGAGGGGAAAGGAAGGGATGGAGGGAAGGAGCAAAACTCAAAGCAGGTTTTCATGACATCCAGACAGAGTCAATATGTTTATCAAGTATCTTGGAGCATAAAAATCTGTCTTCAGGTAAATCAGTGCACTTAGCTTGGTATTGTTTCTACACCATCTGGGTAGACCAGTCTCATAGTAAGTGCATGCCTGTATCACTTCATCCTCCATAACATCTATTAATACAAAATGCCTTATATTGTAATATAAGGATTTATTTTTATTTTTGCTTTCCTTGTAGCAATTACTGGACCAGCTTCTTCAAAGAAACACAGAATGACTAAAGGTTCCTGAGCACATAATTCTTCTTGGGCCTTCAATGCCTTTGATTAATTAAAAAGCCATACAAACTTAGCATGATCTTAATTACATGGAGAGTTTATTTGTTTTTAACTCTATAAACAAAAAAGCTAGCTTGTGAGGGGTTTTTCAAAATAAATTTTCAAGGGATTTTGGAAAATCATATTTTGATGGTCATAACCCATGGAAATACAGCTTTACAAATGGTTTATGCAGTTGTTTCAACAACAGAACATTTATTTATTTATTTACTTTTAAAACCGTAAATCTGACTTTTTATCCATCATTGCAGGCATATATAAATGTATGCTCTACCCCTTAAATACAGGATTCCCATGTATTCCATTAATGATTGCCATTAGGCACAATACTGGCTTATTTGAGTAGAAGGAAAATGAGTATCATTTTTGTTCTGGTTAGAAACTTGCCAAAATGGCACTACAGCCTAATAATTTCTGCAGCAGTTTTAAATTAATGGATAACATAGTATTGGGTCCAGTAGTCTACACCTCTGAAGAACCATATTTCTGTCGTTATATAATGAATCCAAATAAGGAGGTTACCTGTTTAAAACCAATATTTAGAACCTAATTAACAATTCTTTTGAAACATGCTCTTTGTTAAACAATGTAATTTTGCCTGGCTTTCCTTGGCATAATGCATTCATAGCAGTTACATAGTTTTTCTAAAGTAAAAAGTGGAACAAATGTATTGTTGCTTTTGAAAAAGAAATATACTTGTGTAAAGATTACATAATTTAAAGCACCTGTGATTTTGCTTAAAAATATTTCAAATTGTTATTTGTACATTCAGAAATAAAGCAACCTAAGCTGTTTATACAGAAGAAATAAAAGCTAAGTTAAAAATGGACCACTTTTGGCTACTTTTATTGCATAGTGGTAATTCTGAAGCTATTGTTGCAAAGCATAATGAAATTCATACCCTTAAGACAGCATAATGAGCTTTCCACAGATCCTGGTGAGAAAATATTGTCATAGGTTTTCTTCTTCTGTGTACCATCCACTGGTTCCCACTTTACAGTTACTTCCATAATGTGATTGAGCACATCTAAAAATACCAACACACAGCTTCCCTCAGAGCACCTGCACTAGTTTTCTAAAGTCCATACTTGCTCAGTTATTAGAACAATCATCATTTTTCTGTGTCATCAAAGTATGGAATGGGCTTCCACAGGAGGTGGTTGAAGCCCCATTGGTGAGGGTGTTCAAGAATAGGCTAGACAGGCACATGGTAAGCATGTAATGAGCAGTACCAGCTGGAGATGAGGTCAGACTAGATGGCCCGGGAGGCCCCTTCTGACTTGCTCAGTTTCTGTTTCTAAAAGTTTCCTCACTGTAAGAGTAATATGACTGTGGAACCAGCTGCCTAGAGAGGTGGTGGGCTCTCCCACACTAGAGACATTCAAGGTGAAAGTTCACAGCCATCTGAGTGGGATGGTGTAAAGTGGTGTCCTAGACCCAATGGCCTTCATGGCCCCTTCCAAATCTACTATTCCATGATTATATGACTATTAAAGAGAAAGTGACTCCTCGGGTGTAGGGTTTTGAAAAGGAGCTCTGATGGAGTTCAGCTAAGCTTTGAGTGGAGCTCAATATACTTTGATGTTAAAAATCTTCAGTTTTAAGGTTAGCTGGTATAGGAAACAATGGTACTTTCAGTAAATAACGTTTGTTTTTCAGGCTTTATCTTGGTGGGTGGTGATCCTGAGCTTTGGACTTCTACTGAATTTTGCTTTTGAATTCGGTATGTGCCTGCCTGTTCAACTGTTTTTTTGACTGCTTGAACATTAACTGTTTCTACTTGTCTGTTTCTTTGCCTAAAACCTTAGTGCCTGACCATTTGTCAGTAGTGAGATTGCTTCTTGGAATGCCTGCTGCAGTCAAGGCAGGACATGTGTTACCAACTGGTGTGTGCCTTATGTTCTGTAGGGGACCTTATATTCTCCAAATCTAAAGATAAAATATGTGGCAATTTCAGATAGAAAGCCTTTCTCATAAGAACTTTGGAATATAGTTAACAAACAGCATGCCTGAGGCAAGTCATTGGCTGGAAACAATTGACAGGTATAAATACATGTTTTGGGGAAGGAGGAAAAATATTCTGCAGTGGACCTAATTTGTCTTTGCACTATTTTTGAAAAGCGAATATCTTTTTTTATGAGCCTGACACTTGCCCTGTTTTCCCAGATATGCTGCTGTAATAGAAAAAAAAAGTCTTGGGGGAAAATGCTAGTTCTTCATAAAGGCTTCAAACACCTGTGCATTTGTGAGATTCTTTGGGACTAATAATTACTTCAGTAAAATTTTGAAACAGAGGCTAAGGAACTAACAGCTACAAACTACAGTTCTTGTTGAAGTTTCAGAATATGTAGTATTCATGTAATTCTATACCTATTCTTACCAGGTTTCTTCTGTGTGATGCACTTCTATGCTTTGTTAGAATACTTGTATCAAGAAAGCCACAAAATAATATTGATGGAATCATATTTATGATCACAAAGTCTTTCAGTGCTTACCAGCATGTGTTTATGTAAAGTAGGCTGGTGAAAGACAGAATTGTATGAAATAACTAAATATTGTAAAAACAACAACAATAACTGTGTATATACCAATTCCAAAGATATAAAATGTAGAGTAAAGCTGCAGAAGAAGCAAGTCATGGCATAAGGGGAAAGTTCATCCCTAATTCTTCTTCATGGTCTCTGTGGATTACTCATATGGGCTCTTCACCTGCACATTCAGGAAGATTTCCTAGCTAAGCTCAGTATTTTTGGCAAGAGCCCTGCCCCCTTCCCTCAGTATAAATAGACAGGGCTCCCCAGTTCACTTTCAACCACCGTTCTTCGTCATGGTCTCTGTGCATCACACACAAACGGGTGCTGGGCCTGCACAGTGCCTGTTGTTGGGAAGATTTTACAGCTTTAACAGTTTTGGCGGGAACTCCATATCCCCTTCCCCCTGGTATACATGGGTGGAGTCCCCACCCTTTCGCCAGTCTGCTTGGGACCGCTGTTTGCTGTGCCTTGGGCCTTTTTTGCTTATCTCGTTGCCTTTTTTCTTCTCGATAACGCTTTCACTTTAATTGTCTTTCTACTTGCTTCACTTACTCTTCCCCAATATTTTCCTTCTGCTCCCTTGGACTTGTTCACTACGCTTTACGCTCTTATCCCTTTCCCCCTCCCCACAACTTCTATTCCCCCATTTTAAAAAATGAGAAACCCTCCTATCATCTTCTTACCCCGCTGATTATCCTCTTCATTCTTCTCGATGGCTCAGCAGGCGACTTTTCGTAAGTGCACCCAGTGTGGAGCAAAAATGTCTCCAACTGATCCACACTCCCTCTGCCTTCTCTGCCTTGGAGAGAGCCACAGGATGGATAGATGCAGCCATTGGCAGTCTTTCACTAGGCAGGCTAGAAAGAACCAGGAAACCAGATTGAAAAAGATGCTGTGGGACCAGGCTCTTGTGGCAATAAAGGAGGTCACGGCAGCTGCCTCCTTTGTCACTCCTGATTCTGGAAAGAGCGCCCCCTATCGTCCACCTCAGGAGGTTGGCGTCGGTACTGACCACAAGCACTCCACTCGGTCTCCCTCTCCTAAGAAACGTAAGGAGAAGAGGAAGCACACCGAAACTGAAGGGACTGCAAAACTGAAGTGTCCCAAAAAGGAGAAGACCAAGTGCCACCATAAGAAGCACCTTTGCATGCCTTGTCAGTATGCATCCAGTCTGCCTATTATATCAGTCTGATGGAGCCATCTGGTTGCCAGTCTGCCATGCAGGTGACACCACCGTCATCACCCCCTTGCATACTGCTCTCTCCTCACTCTAGGCCAGAATGCCTAGAACCGGTGGCTCAAGCTTCGATCTCTGATGGGGAGATTCGTGAATCAGCTCCTCCATCTGGTCCGGATCACCAGACTGCAAGATCTCCAACTCCAGGTGGCCAGTCATCACCAGAGGTGTCTCCAAGTCCCCCACAGCGTCCACCGGCATTCCTCTCACCGCAAGCACCGGATCAACAGCCTTCCAGATACTGGATGCAGCTACCATATGGATTTTGAACCTGACCAACTGGACCGAGCCTACCTGTGGGATTAATACCTACCACACAACTATCCTAACCAGCACCACCAATGCACCACCAACATTCTACACCTCTGTTGACGTCTAGGAATGCACCATTCACAGCAGCTGCAGCTATGGCTCATCCTGATTTGTCTCCTGGCGACTCTTCCTCTTTGAGCCCTCCATACTATTTGGATTCAGACTCAGAGAAATCTCAACAGGCTTCTACATCCTCTGATATGCTTATCTCAACTCAAGGCCCAGGACTGGGTCGCTTCTCCAAACTCCTGGCTTGAATGTCATCTTCCCTTGGGATTGACATACAGCAACATGTTGATCCCAACCAAGACAACATATATGATGTTATCCAGAAGGAGGACGCGGTTTCAGTAGCACTGCCCTTCATATCTACGCTTCAACAAGCTATGATGGAATCCTGGCAGCTCCTGAACCTTCTTCACCCAACCTCCTGGTACAAAGTCAGGGAACAGGACATTCCCTTCTTACTGAGACATCCACAGCTGAACTTCATCGTAATTGAGTCCACTCAAGGCCGTCAGTCCAGGGAGCACTCTGCACTGGTGGATTGTGAGGGGAGGAAAATCGACATGTTGTCTCGCCGGATCTACTCCACCATGGAACTCAGTCTTCGCATCTCTAACTACAAAGCCACAATGGCACGTTACCAATATTTTTGTGGCAAAAGATTGAGTCCCTCGCTGCATTCCTCCCAGTCCAGTAGAGAGAACTGGCCCATATCTTCATCAGGGAGGCAGTGCAGCTCTCTAAGCAACAACTGGCGATGGCGAGGCACCATGTCTTACCAGTGTCTTGAGGGCACTGGTTGGTGCGGTGGCGCTCAGGCAGCACACCTGGTTAAGAGCCAGAAACTTCCCACAAGAAACTAAACAACGTGTGGAGAATATGTCTTTTGATGGCATGGGTCTTTTCCA